AAATATATATATATATATATATATATATATATATATATATATATATATATATATATATATATATATATATATATATATATATATATATATATTGGTCTCGATGAGAATGCAATCTTATGAAAGAAATAAGAATGAATCTGGTGCTTTAGATTGTGTGATCTAAGGGTCAGGATTGCATCAAAATTAGGTGCACGAAAATGGTTTGAAAATGCACTATCTCAAAATCTGAGTGCAGGATGCAATATGAGCCGCACGATGCATCAGATCAAAAGGCTAGATTTTATTCTTATTTCTTTCACCAAGATGCATTATCACCTGAACCGGCTCCTATACACACACACACACACAATTGATATAGATGGCCAGATTTTTGGAGAGAGAAAGCGCCGGCGATTGCGGTCGTTGTCACCACATAAATCTTCGTCCGGATTATCAACGGCCAATCTATGGCTTCAGGCAACAATTATATTTGTACACAGATGCTCCTCCCTGGCACGGTGAACCTTATCCCAAAACATACTTTAAATCTGGCTTCATCAAAAGAGTCAGCTCCCATAGCACACATCACAACAACCGACCATCGAAGTTTCGCAGGCGAGACTTTAGATGGCCATTCAAATCCCCCGGGGTAAACGTCTTGAAGAATTCATATGTGCTTTCAGAACAGAGAATAAGCCTACCGAATCAGAGAGCAAACCCCTCGCCATGGCCTAGTAAGAACATTAGATTCAAATTCAGAATTCTGAACCAAGTATTTGAGCTATTTTACTCTGTCTACAATAAGGTCTTCAGCATTTCTGCTAGGGGGAGAAGAAACATCCATATATGGTTTGATTCTGATTCTTTCAATTGGGTCTTGGAATCTCTACCTAGACTGCTTGCCGGTTCAACTTGGGCCTGTGTTAAACTGGATATTAAGAGAACCCTTGAAATTGCTATTGGCTCTAGTCGTAGGGGGGGAATATATTCGGATTTTAGAAGCTAGGAAAGAAGGTAAAAGGTTCATTCTTATCCCCTTTGGAACACACAATGATGGGCCTAATCTGTTCCTTAAGGGTATTTTGTCCTTTGTAAAGAGAGCACGGTGCTTAAACAAGGCTGAGGGGGTTTGGGGAGTTTGGGGAAGTAGGAGAATCAGGGGCTATATCATTTGAGGTTGCTGTCTTGGGAGAGACTGTTAATGGTCCAGTACTCTCTAGGGTGGAGAATCCTACACTTGCTTTAAAAGACACTCTGGTCCTAGAGGAACATTTGAAGGTTCTTAAGTTATGCTCCAATCTAAACGAGGTAGGGGACCCCCTTTCTGATTCCCAATCCAATAAGGTCCTATCTCAAGAGGTGGTAGAATCAGCCCAAGTGTATGAACAGAAGTCTTTAAGTATTGAAAACCATGACATAAGAGTACAACCTTTGGAAGGGCAGGATATACAACATGGAAACACTACTGATCTGTCTTTTTGCTCGGTAGAATTTGTTGAAAAGGATTTTCAAAAGCTAAAGGAGAACACTGCTCAGGCAGAGCCTTCTTCATCATACAATTTTCAATACCCCCAGCTTCCAAGAGTGTGCCTATCCCCATTTGCTGCCGAGTTCATCCCACTTAAGCCCAACTCGTATGCAGCTCTCTTTGATCAAGTAAAAGACCTGGAAGAAGGAAGCCCTTTCAAGGATGTTGATTTTGACAAAATTGATGATAGGAACATGGTACTTAAGAACAATGCACTAGAAGACATCTGGGAAGAAAGAGAGGGGTCTATTCTTTATACGCACTCAGAAGGAGAAGACAAGGCCTTCAATGACAACATACTCAAACCTCTTCAAATAGATTACTCCAGGATGTTCAAAACACCTTTCGATTTGGGGAGAGAATTCAAGGGTAGGCACAACTACTCTCCTTCTCAAATAGTAACCCAAAGTAAGGCAAAGATTTTGGAAGAAGGTGGAAAGAAAACACCAATGGTATGGGAGGAAGGGTTAGATGGTTCAGAGCTTAATTTTGCAGAAGACATTAGAAATTTTTTCAAGGAATGTTGTCCAAACAAACCTGAAAAAGCAACCAAGAAGCAGTCCACAAATAAGCCTTTAACCAAGAGCCAAAAGAAAAAGTCAAAAAAGAAACTTAAGAAGAAAATGGCAGGGCAAGAAAAGGATGAAACTGATTGATCTTGCAGGATCTTTCAGTACTATATTAGTTTAGTCCTTTTTGGGTGTGATCATTGGCATATGGTTTTGATTAGTTCTATGGTTTCCTTATCTGTTGCTAGAGTGCAATTGGGTTTCGTTTCGCATGTATTAGGCGCTTTTGAATGGTTAACTTGGAAGTTTTCTCTCGTTTGGGATCTGCCATTTCCTGGCTTGGGCTTGCTAAGGGCAGACAAAGGGTTGGATTTATGGTTGAAGCAGAATGTAAGAGAGTGGTCAAATTGGCAAGACTAAGGAAGGGTACGGATTGCATTAGGGCATATTATGACATGGTTTATCAAATATGATGGTTTTTCTTGTTATCTTGTTACCCTCCTATTGGTGTTGGGGTGGGCAATGTCACTTAGCCATGCAATATACTTGAATAATGTAGACTCAAACATAGAGGTATGGTTCCTGAGGATGAAACCTGAAGGTTCCCTTTGCTAGACCGTTAGCTACTCGTATGACAACCACAGTGGGCAAGGCCCTACTCCCTGTTGAAATTTGCTGTGTACTTTGGGTCAAGAAGTAGAAGACATTTTGGTGTTTTCCTTTGAGATGTGTCCCTCTCTGTTTTGTTTAGACCCTTTTGGTCTTTACTTTGCTTTTGTATCTTTTTTTGCTTTGGCCTCTTGTCGGGAAGAATTAGGCATTGAGCATAACTTCTCGGCCCCCCGTACACCACAACAAAATGGCGTGGTTGAATGGAAAAATAGGTCTCTTGAAGAGATGGCTAGAACTATGCTCAATGAGGCAAACCTTCCTAAATACTTTTGGGCGGATGCCGTGAGTACCGCGTGCTACGTGTTAAATCAAGTCGTCATTAGACCGATACTCAAGAAAACGCCCTATGAACTTTACAAAGGAAGAAAGCCTAACCTCTTCTATTTTCATGTCTTTGGATGTAAAGTTTTCATTCATAATAATGGAAAAGATAACTTGGGAAAATTTGATGCTAAGTCGGATGAAGGAATTTTCTTAGGTTATTCTCTTCGTAGTAAGGCATATAGAGTGTTCAACAAGCGTACTAAGACCGTAGAGGAGTCTATTCATGTTGTCTTTGATGAATTTGATGCTCGCTTGGCGTGAAAAGGTATTGTTGATAATGTTGCAGGTTCTTATGATGATGAAGAAGAAATCGTTAAGGAAAAGGAACCGGAAGAAGAGAAAACGCAGGAACAAACGGAGCTTCCTAAGGAATGGAGAACATTGAAGAACCACCCGATTGACAATGTCATTGGTGATCTAACGCAGGGAGTTTCTACTCGTAATTCTCTTAGGAACACAATTAATCACATGGCCTTTGTTTCACAAA